AAGAGTGGTGGTGGAAGACCCTTTGTCCAGGGGTGGACACACACACACACGTTCTTTGGAGCTTCGGAGTTTTGGTTCTCACCTCTTTGGGGCTGTGTGTCGTCCAGCCGAAGACCAGCGAACCACCCAGAAGCCTATAGCAGGTCAGCCTGGACTGCAGCGCTTCAGCCGCAGCACGAGCAATTTGGGGAGCGCACCAGGCACACCCGCGGACAATAAGCGTTTAACGCGTGCCTTGGTTTGATTGATGTCCAATTCGGATTGATTTCTTTTAATGCCACCTCGAAGATGAGGAAAGCACAAAGCTCTGAAGAGATGACTGTTTGTCTTTGGGATGTTTTTGGATGCTTTTGGCATGTTGTAGGGGAACTCTATGGATGCGATAGCTTGATATAGCTGGCTTGCAGCTAGATGGCATTAGGATACAATATGATACTAGATGCATCCTTTGGCCATGCTGGTTCCCAGCCACGCATCTGAGATCATCTGATATCTTTCAGCGGAGCATCTTTTTCTTGGTCACCGGAATTTTGGTCTTCATGAGTGACCTGAGACCTTTCCTGAGATGAAACAGCCCCGGAGACCTTTTGCATAAAGTCTTCTGAAGCCCCCGAGAGATGTTTGGAGGTCAAGCCCACCAAGCTGACGAACTTCCACTACCACTGCCGGCGGTTGAAGTCTTTGACCCCTCCAAAACTGTGGAAAATGCATGCTGCAATGGTCCAAGATCTATACTGATCATAAAGAAAGACGGATTCCATGACATATCACCTCTACCAGATGCCCAAGCAGTCTTTTCGGCAAAAGCACCCCCACTCAGTTCCTTGTGAGACAAGACCGCTCTTGGACTGAGGTGCCGAAAGCGCGAGAAGTGGCGCTCTCGAGAAGTCTGGCGAGAATGAGCCTTTTTTGAGATGCAGAGACAGCTTCGGAGACGAGAGGGTAGTTCGGATGTTTGTTTGTTGGGCTTCCAAGCCAAACGCCTTGGGTTTCTTCACATCCAAAACACACACGTGCAAAGGAGACTGGGCCCTTCCTTGGAGACGCCACGATCTCGTCACCTTCTCACTTCGGAAGGGACTGGGACTGCTTTGGAGGTGAGAAGAACGAAACACGGTTAGAGCCAAGCTAAGGAGGTTTTTTTCACGGATGCTACAAGGGATGAAGAACTTCTCTCACCAAAAATACAGCCAATAAGTTATTGCCAATAAGGTGCAAAAGAAGATCGCAAGGTAGAGAGAAAAACTCTCTACAGGCTGGTTTGGAAGGGGAAGCAACCTCGAAAACACAGTTCTGAGTTGAGTCTCAGCCGCTGCTTTCCTTGCTTTCCCTCAAAGCACCAGATGAGTTATACATATATATATATATAGAATATGAGTTCGGGAGGCAAACAGAAGAAGTTTGCTGCCTCCTTGGCCACCTGTGCTGACGGTGTGCTACAATCTCCATCTACTGAGGGCAGTGGGTCAACCTGCCTGGATGGCGATAGAACAAGACCAACTTGTTGGCACCTAGGATCTAAGATATCCCTTCCAGAACATTTCAGAACTGTGCAAACTCGTACGGTCACTCCATCCCTGTGTTTCACGGATGAGCAACAAAGCAAGTTTACCATGGTCGTTTTCCCCGCTGTTGGAAACGCTGAGCAGATTTCCTTGAGGTTGTCAATGGTTTAAAGGCCTAGAACTGGGACCATGAACTTCATCCATCCTTCAGCTGTCGCACAGTCGCATCTCGATTCACCTGAACCATCGGTCGATTATCGGTGACAACGAGTCGACCGAACGCCAGGCCCTTCTCACAGACACCAGGCCTATGAGTTATAATCAAAGACCAACAGACACCAGGCTCTTCTCCGAGCCCAGGAATTACAAAGGAGCTTGGAAAGCAGCTTCGAAAGCATTGCCCCAGTGGAGCAGCGCGCCTCCTTCGTGCGGCAGGGCTCCACGCCCATGGACATGGCACCTGACAGC